TTAATACAGCGGGAATAGAAACTTTCCACTTAGAGAGAAGCCTGTATTGTGGTTATTATTCAACATAATACACAAAGGTGAAAGCAGAAACTGACACAGACATATTATTTATTATTTCAAAGCAGGCAATGAAGGGTATCACATTTTGTTTCTTGACCCTGTCTTATAATAGTATGGTGGCACAGTGTTAAGCACAAACTGGTACACCTTGGTTTCAACATTTCACGTCAGTAGCGGACAGTGTAGCCCCCCTGCAATCATGCAAGCTTGGGATGTTCTGAGCATTGATCGAATCAGTTTTTTTTTCTTTTTTAAATGTAATTGTCGAGGCAGTTCATTCCACTCTAGAATCAGTGCTTGTCCCAGTCGTTGTACAATGTTTATGTCGTTTTGGGAGATCTCTCTTTGGCCCACAGGGTGACGTGTTCGCGAGTAGGCTGGCAATGGCAAAACATTCACATTTAATTGCCACTGTAGATATTGCATCTGGAAGTCAGGACAGTTCAGTATACAGACCAAGCTAAAGCAGTATAACAGCTGTGTACTATCCGCCCTCCTATATGGAGCTGAAAGCTGGAGGATGACTCATCATGATCGGGTCAAGCTATGTTCTTTACATACAACCAGCTTACGCCAAATCCTCCAAATCTTTTGGCCCAACAAGATTTCCAAAGCAGATCTTTTACGGAAATGTAGACAAGAGGACATGACCACCATAATAACAAGGAGAAGATGGAGATGGATTGGACTTGTTCTGAGAAGAGAACCAGACTCTATTGTAAAGACTGCCCTCCATTGGACACCTGAAGGACATCGCAAGAGGGGCAGACCCAAGGTGACCTGGAGACGCACAGTAAAATCTGAAATGAAGTCCTGGAACCATTCGTGGGGGACGTTGACCAAGAAGACCCAAAATAGACAGAGCTGGGGATCCTTTGTTGCTGCCCTAAACGCCAGATGGCGTAATGGGTAGTAAGTAAGTAAGTAGATATTGCAACATTACGCAGGCAACGTGTGGGCGCGCATTGTCTTGCTGGAATGTGTGCCTACGTCTAGATTTATATTGGTAGAAACTGTGTATACATCAATGGGTTTGAAAGAAGGGAATCAAGTATATCTGGAGAACATTCTGGTACTTGTGGGCGTCGACCGAAGCGTTGACAATGTACTGCTAAGTTCTATGGTTGGAAGATATTGTGCCCCACACCATCACACTGCCACCTCCCCATCTGTCTGTTTCATGCATCCATAGCCTGTTAGTCTCTCTCTCTCTCTCTCTCTC